AATACTCCTTGTACCCAAATATTACCATAAAACGAATGTCAGATGGTTCAAAACTCTAATAATAGCGTTTAAAGTGCTTAGAAAAGTGAGATGTTCAAATATTCGAAACACACAGTACAATTTATAGACTTAAATCTCGTATCGGGTCTTGAATCTCATATATGGAAGAAGGACGCGATAGATCCTTGATCTAAATTTTTCAATTCTCATCGCCATAACAGGTTCTTGTATAAATGGTAGTTAACACAATTTTAAACTACTCAGGTTCTTAAAATAGATTCTTAATTCTAGATTAAAGCAAATAAAACTTAGCTTTAAAACAAGATATAACCCTTTTTACATTCATCTTCATCTTGTTTTTCTTCAAATAGGAATCTTGCTCTGAAGCTGTATTGCGACTTAAATGATTTAAAAATTAAGAACGTGGGCTATAAGATCCAAATCTTAGCCTAACAGGTTCTTAATTTTTAGGCTCTTATATGCGGTTTTCTACTGTATATTGAGAAAAATTGRRAGACATTGATCTAGTTGAACTGCTCTGTCAATTGATGGATGGATGCAAGGACGGCTGGACTATATTTGATTAGCAATATTTACAACGAACTTACCGGTATTTGTACAAGAATCTCTTCCACCTTGAAATTTAAACAATAATACTTATCGTTAACAGCCAACTATTCTCAGTTGGTTTGCAACCATAATGTTATAATAAATCTATTTAGAGTCAAGAGGACCATCTTGATTAAAGAATAAAGGATCATCACGAAATTTTGAGCCAAAATAATGCTTTTTAACAGAAATAGGAGTGATCGAAAATTGGTAAGGATGTATGGAATTTTCACGGGTCCACGCGTTTCAGACTGGTAAAGAAATACCTATACAAAAAATTTCTTTTAAGATCCAAATAATTTTTTTTATGTCCAAGACTAAAAATAGCATATAATTCCAGTCATGCAAAGTCAAACTGCGATTTTGTAGCAAAACTATAAGCGTTTGAATACGGTCTTACTATACAAGGGAATGTATGCGGCAGCCATGTTGGAAGATGACTCATATTTTCCAACATGGCTGATGACACTTTTAAAGGTTAGAGAAGAAGGCGAAATCGATAACTTTCGATCATTTTCTACAATAATACACTTAAAATGCATACAAGGATACTATATGAGGCCAAATTGATATCAAATTGACATTATTTTTCATTCGATACGTGACTACTACTGCGTGACACACCCTGTAAGATAGCCTGCATGGCGGCTCTAGGGGAGGGAGGAAGAAGGGATCCGCCACGCAGGCTAGAAGGAAGAGAGATCCTTCAATTATTCCCAGCGCCATCTTGGATGTCGACCGAGCCTTAAATCAAAGCGAGATATCAGTTGGAACTTCAAATATGTATTGTGACACCTGTGAATAGCTATMTTGAGTATCTGTCACTGTACGTTTAACCGTCAATTTTAATTAAAGCAAAGGCTCGCCTACTTCTCATGATGCTGCTGGTAAATGTAATATGGAGAATCAAAGAAAGGTTTTGACGGAGCTTGATACTAATCAGCTAATGATTTAACGAGTTTTTGAAAAGCTCCGCCCATCAGATTGAAAGAAAGAACAAAATCCAGACAAACTTCAAAACAATGAAGTCACGATGCAACGATTTCCGCTGTAATTTACTGTCAATTGATTGATAAATGCATGGACAGTTGGCTTATGTTTCATTAACAACTTACCGGTAAAAATATTTTTTCTTCACGTTCTTCTTCCTTAAAATTTAAACAACAATAATAATAATTCCTCTTAATTTTTTTTTAGCAAAATACGCTTTTACCATATTTTTGAATTTGATAAGCGTTCGACTTTTTTTAAACTGCTCGCTTGCATTGCACTTCGCAGATAAAAATGCCCAGGTCTCACGCTCATATTGTATATATTACATAAAATGGATTTCATTAAACCGTGAATCTGGAATATTCCATGTGTGGCAAAAATAAAAAAAGGAAAATAAAATGAATATTAAGATAAAGGGAAAGGAAGACGAGACAATTAAAGCAAAAGAAAGGTTTGTGCACTAAAGTCTTTTTTTTAAAACGTCACAATAATTCATCATTTGCAAATAGGATGAAGGACATTGTTTTGTTGATGGAATACCATCATTCATTAGTGCCAATTAGCACATAGTTGACATATATAGACACATTGGAGTAGGATGTMTGTCCCCTGGGACCCTCCCAAGGGAAAATGATGGTTGCTGTTGAGCGTTACTGAGGAGCTGTCATTGATGCACTATTACATACGTTTAAAAAATCTGCATTTGTCTTAAACTTACCATGTCATAACTCGCGATTGCCTAAAAAAAACAACATTAACGAAATCCAATCAGAATGAAACAAACAAATAATAATTGCATTAGCAATGCGTGAGGGGGAGGGGCCTTTAAAATATGACGTCACATAACATGAACGTGACGTCATAGAAATACATCGACGTCTAAAAGGACACTGTAATGGTGAACGKTGGGGTTTATTTCTTTATTTTTATATTTCTTTTGTTAAGTTTATTAATTAATTTGCATATCACTAGTTTGAATCCTAATGCTCATCCATATATAGAAATGACGACAAATCCTTCTCCATTTTCCAGTTCCCAGCTCCAACTTGAAAGGTAGCCGAGCCTTCACTCAAAGTGAGACATCACTTAATCTTCCAACGTTCGTCGTACATTCAACTGTCTGYTATTAAAATCAAACCAGCCAAAAAAAACACAAAAAAGTAACAAAGGGACAATACAAGTGGGTGGAGAAGTTGGGTATTAGCGAGGAAAGTAGCTATAGACAGAGAGAAGTTGTGCGGGTAGCCTTCTGCGACTATTAATATCTCAAACTGGAAACMACTGGTCACTTACAGTTATCATCCTACATTCGSATGGTGAAGATGGTTCCTAAAAAGTCAAAAAGAGCTGTCAAATATCTGAGATAGAAAAGCGGTATTCAGTAGAAGGACATCGTGCTGTCTAATTGTAATTCTAAGCTGTTCCTAAACATGGCGATCGCGCTTTGTTTTTATAGATAAAACACCCCCTTTTGCACAGGATATCGTGATATTTTGGTTGAAAATTTTGATGAACTCCGGATAGTGGAGCGTCACGCCCAACTCTATAAGAAATATCGAATTGCAAGTGAAAATACAATGAAAGTTGCACGACCGAACAGTAATGTGGGTTATGAATATTAATAGGGAATCATCCTTGTTTCAGTATCTTAATGACATCAATTGTTAAAAACAAAACATTATTATGCAAAGTTTTAGTTTTCACACAAATTTTCACGTGCAACGTACACCACTGACAACAGGTCAAAATGAATGAATGAATTTTTTGTTTGTTTTGCAGAGCAGAAACAAAAAGTGTTACTTTCCCGTTCTTCTCTCCTGCTGCTCCAACGACAAAGCCTACACTAAACGGACTTCGTTTGTAAYACTAAAGCGACGAGTCCAGTTAGAATCTCATACCTCAWTTTTAAAGTCGTGCGTTGATTGGTCAACACGTCAACCGGATGAGAGGGTATTTCAAGTGGAATTCAACGGTGAGAAACCTGAATTCAACGCCCCGATAAACTACCTTAAAACACTTGCGTTATTTCAACAATTTACTCACAAAATCCGTGTAAAACCCTGGCAAAAGTTATTATCTAATTGTTTTAGTTACCAACAACTTGTCTATTCACTTTCTCTAGATTTCAAGAAGCAAAATATTTTCATTTTTTGCAAATTCAGTAGCAAAAACAAAAACAATTTTAAGCTTAAGTTTATTACTCGATAAGTGCGTTTCGTTCGTCCAAATAAGACTCAAAATATGATTTTAAACTTGTTTTCAATTTTTCAGTAACAACCTTTCGAAGTCTTTTCTTCATAGATGATATTTCTAATCGAGATAAGAGTGGAAAACTGTAGAAATCTTAGGATTTGTGGCCCTGGTCTGTCTGCAAGTTTGCCGTCCGCCGATGATCGTTGCAAACTCGCTCTGAACCGGCTTGAGCTTGTCATTCAAAATACTGAAAAGCCATTCGAGTGCTACAAAATTTTTGTTTTTGTTTAATTATTAAAAAGTAATATTCCTTTAGCTAAAATGGCAAAAAAACTGAAAATGAAATTCTCGCAGGCTAGAAGGAAGAGAGATCCTTCAATTATTC